AGATGATCATAATGGTCCCTTCTGACCTTAAAGTCTATGAGTCTATGAGTCTATGGGTGACCCTAAAAACAGTCAGAGGTCAGCTTAGATCCAGAGAAGGATCCAAAAGCTTCTCTTAGCTTTTTGAAGCTCTTGAAGCTACAGAGCTGGCCTGGGAAAAGTCCACACGAGGGACTCCTGGAGCCCCCAGATGCTCCCAGGAACAGCTACCTTGGGACTGCAGCATTCCTGATTCCAGACCCCTCTCGAATCCTCAAGTGAAGGGAAATGAAAAGCAATGAAGACAAGTGGAACCAAACATTTCAGAGACAGTTTGGTTCCAGGATGGGGTTACGTTTTCCAAATTATATTTTAGCCGGCTGTACACTTAGACCAAGTTCTAGATCCCCTCTTTATATCCGGGTGAAGTGCTATGGCTTGCCTTATATGCAGGAGGACAGAGTCCACGATCATAATGGCCCCTTTCTGGCCAATGGGCCAGATTCTCAGTCGCCCTGTGCCTTATGTGGTATTGTATACCAAACCACAATGGGTGCAATACACGACCGTTCCGATCTTTTGCATGGGTGAAGATGACTTCACCAATTGCAGGACCAGGGAGAATCTGGCCCTGTGAGCTCGTGACTATCTGTCGACGCCTCCAGGGTTAGAACTCCTTGATGGGACCTCTACAAATGCCTTCAGGACTGGCCCATGTTCTGGTCCTAGCCCTGGGATTAGAGAGGGGGGAAAACTGTTGATCCCTGCCTCAAGCTTTGCCTATTATTGCTCCGAACCTTGAGGTGCCACCTTGGGACAGAGACAGGTGGCTTGGCACTAACCCCTGTACCGTTACATATTTGGAGCAAGAGATTAAAGGAGAAAGCTTAGGAATCCAGCCGGGCTAATAGAGGCAGCAGAGGTGTCATTATTGCCATTGCATGAGTTCTTACTTCTTGGTGCCATAAATCCAGGCCACAGCAATGTTCTCCAGGATCACCACAACTGTGAGCGGCAGCGTGGCAGAGTAATCGTCAAACATGGTGACGAAGTAATTCCCCGAGTGCTGCACGAAGATCAAACCGATCAGGAAGGCGACGATGCAACAGCCAACTGCAAAGAGCACATGGTCACAGTCAGCATACTCCTCCAGGGGAACGCAGAACTCAGGGAGGGGGAAGAATGGGGTTCTAATAACTCCCCCAGCCTAAATTAATACATCCTCAAATCTGCTGACGGAATAGTAAATAATGACAACAAGAAGCATTTCTGAGCATCAGTGAGTCTAGCAACCTGCTGAGACCGCTGTGGCTACAAACCTAGGCTAATGCACTGGTCTCTACTGTTGCCTTGTCCTCCCACTGTTTGCCTCTTTTGTCACCTGGGCCCTGATCCTGCAAAGTCTTATGCACGTGCTTAACTTTCAGCTCTGGGACCAGTCCCATTGCAATCAGTTGCAGGCGGAGGAAGGATGGGTCAGTGGTTCTCAGAGAAAAATAGGAAGTTTATTATTATTATGATTTGCATTACAGCAGCAAGTAGGAGCCCCAGCCATGGTCAAGGTCCCATTGTGCGAGGCACCACACATACATATTGTGAGATAGCCCTGCCGTGAAGAATTTCTAAAAGACAATGGGAGGAAGGGAAACTGAGGCACAGAGCAACAACATGACTTGCCAACTGTCAAGAGCTAGTCAGTGGCAGAGCCAGGAATAGAACCCAGGTCTCCTGAGGCCCAGTCTAGTGCCCTCCCCCACAATTCATCTCCCTCTGCTTTGGGATTGCTAGGGACAGCAGGTGCCGTGTTAATATTAAATCATTAAATGCATTGAGGAGAACTAGTGATGAACATGAATGGCAGTGGAGAAGGCACACTGTGTGTGTCCAAAACACTCCAAAATGCTGAGGCCACTAAAGGTGCAGATCTGGATCTGAAACACCTCCAAAGTTTTGGGTCTGGAGTTTCGGTTCTGGCCCATCTCTACTTATGACATTTGTTGCTTCAATGTTATTTGCAGTCATGGATCCATAGCCTGGCACTCCCAAGAGCAGAAGGAAGCAGGGTTCTTCCCACCTCCAAAGGTCGTCACCTTTCCAACCCGCTCCCAGCAACTCAACAGCCAATCCAGTGCCTAGGTAACCCTGGGCCTCACTAGATCCAGAGTTCCATTCCTCCCCCCACCTCCCTCCCACATTCAGCCCCTTCCTCATCCAGGTTTTGCTCAGGATCCCTCCGGGAGCAAGCTCTGCTCCCTTGGTCCTGCTAACCTTGGGCCCTTCCTATAATGCAGACAGAGAGATGAGGTATCTGTGCACGCTCCTGGGACATCCTAAGCTTCAGCCCTGCTGGTGGAGATGAGATCTGACTGGGCCTCACAAGCCAGCTGACGCTGCAGTCTCCAATCCACCTGCTCGAGTCACCGTGCCCACCCCAAGGAAATGGAGAACCCCCTGCCCCCAAGGCAGTGCAGCCAGAAAGAACCTCACCTGTGAAAACTTCCTTCCGCACCTTGAAGGTGTCAATGATAGGGGTAGTGATACCCGCCATGGTCCCAATCATGCTGCCCAACCCCAGGTTTATCAGCATCAGGAAGAACATCACGGACCAGAAAGGAGAAGCTGGGAAGTGGGTCATGGCTTCAGTGAAGGCAATGAAGGCCAGGCCGGTTCCCTGCACTGACTGCATGGGGGGAGAAGAGGGACAGCTGTGTCAGACTCGGGAGAGAAATACACTGGGGACATGTGCATAAAAACACACATGCATCTGCAAGCCCAACAGCTACACCTACACCCAAATCCCACCCCCTGCCCCTGAGCTACCCCTAGTTCTGAAGCGAATGCAAAGGATCGTCCCCAAGCACCTTGTTGAGCTCATCCTCTAGCAGGCAGGGGTCCAAGCCCAGCTCCTTGAAGTGATCCTCCTTCACCGTCATGATCACTTGGTACATCTCGCTGTAGTCCTTGGCCGTGAGATGGGAGAAGTTCACGTGGGGCGGGATGAGGTCATGGCTCAGGACGTGGGTGTTCAGGTAGCCCAGGATCTTCTCAGTGTTCCTAGGGGGAGCAAAGCCAGAGTCACCCATGGAGTCCCCACCCTGCAATGGAGACGAGGTGGGATGTGATCACCCCCTATGGGCCAGGCAGGGCACTGCGTGTGGAGGCAGGACAATGGGAGCAAGGCGGGGCATCATCAGCAACATTCTCCCGCAACATAGGTGCACCGGGAGGCAACCCTGCCATCAAAAGCACTGAGGGTGTACATTCTCTCTCCTCCTGCATCCAGCATTAGCCTCCATCTCCAAAAGCTGCCTTGGCTACCAACTCTAGACCGTGATCTCTCTGGGATCAGCAAGCGTCAGACCAGCCCATGCAGCAGTCCCCAGACGCCAGCACTGCTCCAACGCTTGCCCCTCAGGTTTATAACTTCGACGTAGGTAGTGCCACTCATCCAGAGATCCAAAAGCACTGTGCACTTTTTAGAAACTCGGTATAGAGCTCACTTCACCCAGCGCTGAAACGCAGCCACTTCTGCGGTAGAGCGCAGCAGCTCTTTAACATCACATAGCTACGCACCAGGTGAGGACAGGAAGTAAAAGAGAATCCCGTCTCCAGCTGAAATTGGAGGAGGAATTTAGAATGTAATTAGCCAAGTTGGATTTGCCCAGGACAGTCAGGCCAATACCTCAGCTTTAAGCTTGGATTTCCAAAGGGATGTAAGGTCTCATTAGAAGCTGATGGGAATTGGGTACTTAGCTCATGACTCAGAGAGAAAGAGCACCCTGCAGTGAGTCACCAGCAATACCCTAGACATGGAGACCTCCCATTCAGGCCCAGTATAGCTGCTGAGATCAGCTGCACCAACCAGGTATTATGGTTTCATTTATCCCTGTAACAATCTTTTCATCTCCGTTGGGTCATGAATGGAGACTGAACTGGGAGCTCCTGGACCTAAAAGCATGAGCTTTGAATGCATGCACTAAAAGAATAGGGCCCAGATCCTCAACGGCATTTAGGCACCTAACTCCCATTGAAATCAACCTTTGAGGATCTGGGCCCAGAAGATACTGAATATCCATCCCCATTTGTGTGGGTTCACCCTCTGGGCGGGAGACCAAGGCCAGGAGAAGGGCCCTGGGAAGTGAGAGGAATCCACACGTACTCCACCACACATTTCTCATTCATGATATTGGCCTTGAACCCCAGCACGGCGAAGACCACCAGGGTGGCCAACACGGAGGTGAAGAAGTTGATGAAGGAGACGAGGGTGGCGTCGAAGTGGCAGTTATTGTCCTGCTTGTTGTAGCTGGAGAAAGCGATGACACCTCCAAAGCCCAGGCCCAGAGCGAAGAAGACCTGAGTGGCCGCCTCTCGCCACACCTGGGGGTCCAGCATCTTGTCAAGCTGGGAGGGGAGAGAAAGGGGGAGGAGCCTGGTGAGACGCCCCGTCTCCCTGTTCACTCAGCCTGTCGGGTCCAGGGAAACCCAGCACACCCATCACTGGCACCAAGCCAGTGACGTCCCTTGTGGTAATGGGTGGGTGGAGGCTCAATATGTAGAACCTTGGGCTCCATGTGCTAGCCAGGGCCATGGGCTCATGCCCACTGCACCTTGGACTACACTTGATCAGGATTTTCACATATGCATATGGATTTGGAGAAGCAAAGAATATAATTCCCTCCCAAACAAACACCCCCTCTAATGAGGGTAGTGAGCCCATTGTGCTTACGTAGCCTATTCCACCCACAGTTCTCTAAGAGTTAGGTGTCACCATCTCTAATTTACAGATGGGGAAACTGAGGCACTGAGAAGGGGGAATTGCCATACAGTGACCGAGCTGGGAATAAGAACCCAGCCTGCTTGATGCCCGAGCATGTCTGTGCTCCAACCATGAGACCAAAGTGCTTTTCATGGATATCAAAGACCCTTCAAAGCAAGTGTGGTTAGCTTCTTTTCAGAGATGGGGAAGTGACTGGCCCAGGGTCACACACTGAGTCAGCAGAGCTGAGAAGAGCACCCAAGTTTCCGGACGTTCACTCAGATCCCCCATCCACTAAACTGTCCTCTCCATGAGCTCCCTGTCTTTAATACCTGCCCTCCCCACTACTATATAGTTACACCCAGGCACCCACTTTCCTTGCATTCTGCAGCGAGCTCCAATCTTCCTATCAGGACCACTGGCTGCTGACTTGTCCCTAGCTATCTATGCTGTGTTTGCTGCCACGGGACCTGGAGTGCTGCAGGATCCCGCACTGCGTGGAGCGGGAGCTGGATGCTGAATTGCGGCGTGTTCATGTATGCAAAGCAGCCGGAGGCTGCACAGAGCCAGCTCTCTCTAGCTATTTCCAGCACACGTCTCCCCGTGGTGCCTGAGTACCTTAGGAGTGCCCTACGCATTAACATTAATTGAGAGCTAATGCCTGTGTGATTAGCCTAGTTTGTTTTAAATTCTCCCCCCATCTCAGCTTCCCCTTTATAATAAAAGCCAGAGCTGTAGGACTGAAGTGTCTGGGTATCTCTCATCAAGCTATCATCATTAATATCTTGCAACAGCTTTGTGGGATGAGCTGATTCATCTACATCTCAGATTCATTAATTAATTAGCTAGTTAATTACTTGATACATAACACTGATGGCTGCCTAGGTTTGTAACTGTGGAGGTTTGTCTGCCAGTCAGCATCTGTCATAGAGGCAGCCCCATGAAGTTTTAAAATGTAGCCCATGTCGACAAGCAGAGAGACTGCAGGTGCCAACCAGCAATGCCCCACCTTGAGCTAAGAGACCTGCCCCCCCAAACATTGCATGCTGGGAGCTGTAGTTTCCTCTAGCTGCACCCCTACATTAAAGATACAGTCTGCCCCACTTGTGTAAGTTAGGTGTGGTCTTGGCGTCCTGACTGTTTCAGTGGCACTGGGTTTAGGCACCCTGATTTCCTGTAGGGGGCGTGTGTAGCACTGATTGTATGTGCATATAGGGTTGTGTAAGGCTGTGTGCAGCTGCATTGCATGCATCTATGTGTGTGTGTGTGTGTGTGTGTGTGTACAGTTGTGTGTGTCAATCTGTTTCCTAGTGTGAACCAATGATATGTGTAAATGGGACTGGATGTGTGCACAGGGCTCATTGCATGTGTGTAGTTGTATGTAGGTAGGTGTAATTTTGTGTATGTGTGTGCACCTGCCTATGGTTGATATAGGAAGCAGCCTGCTCCCTTCAGGGAAATGAAGGAGCAAGCCAGAAGGAATGGGAGCCTGTATCGTGATCATGGACCTCTGCCTCTATCTCCCACCCAAACTCATCATGAAATCAGCAGGGCAAGCAGCCTTGCGAAATGGCCCTGTCCCTCTCTGATCAGGCAGAGGGGCTGTACAGCGAGCGCTGGTCACTTACCTTAGGAGTGAACATGTGCAGGATCCCATCTATCGCCCCTCTCAGGAGCAGCCCCCGCACCAGGAAGCAAAGGAGCACCACATAGGGGAAGAGGGAGCTGAAGTACATCACCTAGGAGAGAGGAGACCCAACGTGACAAGGACCTCTGCACAGCTACCGCCTCCCACACTGACACTCAGGCAGGGCCCGTCCTCCGTTCCCTTCTGCACACAATCCCCCAATAGAAAAGGAGCAGGAGGGGGAGAGAATGCTACTCTGAAAGAGAAGCATTGAGCCTCTATAAGTCAGCATGAAACATGTTGCAGCATTAAGGCGCATTGTGCTGCTGGGATTGTTGCCCTTCAATACCTAAATGCCAGTTCTATCTGCCATGGCACAAGGAGGCGCTGTGCTGCTAGGGATGCTGCCCTCCATAGCCTGAACCTATCCCCTTTATACTGTAGCATGGTGTAACAAGCCCCCAGTACAGTCTCTCAAAAAGATTTGAACCTACCACCTTTAGCACTGACCTTTACTACTGGAACAGCCTCCATTTGGTTGCAGCAGTAGTATGCTGTTATCCTCCTTATGACCCAGCCACTAGGGAAGAGTGGGGATGCAACGCATACTTGACTGGCATGAGGGGGCCCTGGGCGGCTAATGCTGACTACCCGTGTAACCTGGGCCTATTTCTAGTGCTCAGGTGAGCATGCATTAACAGAGTCCAGTGTGTCACACTTAATCTGAGCAGGGAAGTTTGGCTGTTAATGCTCCGCTTTTGTTCTCTGCTTGGTGCAGAGCATCTGGTGCCTCTTTGTATTGCTGGGATGGCAGCCTGGGGACTCATTGCCCTGATGCTCTACAGCAGAGTTACGGGGACACACAGTGTTCCAGCATCTCAGCTGGGATTTTACCCTTCAGAACTCCCTCGCCTTGCTCCGTGATGAGACGCAGCCTTTTTCATAGCGCCAAATGTGAACATAATCAAAATGTTCATTGCAGCCTTCTCCCCAAGCCTCCGATCGAGCCCTGGTTGGGTCTGGTGCCTACCAATTCCCATCGGTGCCGCCTGCCAACCCAGCAAGACAGGCTGGGCATTGTGGCAGCTTCCTCGGAGCAGAGTTTCCTCAGCAAAGCCAAGGGCAACTAGCGCAAAAGGTCAAACCTCGCTCTGGGCCCAAATCATCACACGTGGGTGCCAAATGTGTCATAGCCAGGCGCCTGGCCTGATTGTCATAGGTGCAGAACATGCACAAGCCCCCCTGAAGTCATAGGGACACGGGACTGGAAGGGACATCCCAGGGCATCCATTCCAGTCCCCTGCTATCGCAGGCAACCCCATTCATAAGTGTTTGCCCCACTACTCCTATTGGAAGCCTGTTCCGAAACCTCACTGCTCTGATGGTTCTAATTCTAATCGCCAGCCTAGATTTATTCCTGGCCAGTTAATCCTCATTTGTTCCTGGGCCAGCATGGTCCTTTAGCTTAAATAGCGTCAGCCTTTTTCACAGCTGGTCAGTGGGGAGCTGCAGATGGCCAGAACCTCAGAACACCAGCTCATTTCCATTAGGGGACCTACAGGCTGAGATCTCAACCTGGTGGCAGAAGTTAATACCCTATCACACACCAGGGGTATCTGCAGAGGTCAGTCATGATGGTTACATCAGCAGGGCCACATTCCTAGCAGGAATAAACTCACCAGCTGTAGAAACCTCCTACCTCCAGGCACAAGCAGCTGCAGACATTCCTACCTTCTCAGACACTCCATAGCTACACTACTACCCAGCTGCTCCTTTGTAGACACTCCCCAGCACTGGTTGCATTTACTCCTATTATCCTTGGTGCACGTAACATCACTTCAGCCACTCGCAGGAAACAAGACTTGTGGCTCTGGCCCTTGCTGACCCTCACCTTCCCTGAAGACTGAATTCCTTTGATCACGGCCAATCCCACGATGCTCCAGGCCGTCAGCAGGCACAGGGTCATCTTCCAGTTGAGCCCTCCGCCCTCTGAGATGGAGCTGGAAATCTCCAGAGCCTCCCGGTACCAGAAGTAGGTGGTAGCGGAGCTCTTCTCACATTCTGCCTCCACAACTGAAACAAACATGGGCCACGAGAGGTTGGGTTGCTGGAAAGCACCCCCCTCCCTTGAGGGTAACATGTCATTAAGGACCCGCCTAAGTCCCAGGGCAGCCAGCCGTCATTTACAAATGTCTGTACAGCACTTGGGGGATTGGAGCTTGGTTGATTTTTAATAGCAAAGAGGGGATAGAAAGATGCTAACAAATGAAAATAAGATGTTAAATAAGTGATGCAATTTACACCTGCCATAAAATATTCCCAAGTATACCAGGGAGATGTTCAGATGTTACTAAACACGCTTTGTATTGGGCTCTCAGGAACCAGCTAGATGAGCACTCCGAATGCAATTACCAGCTGCCAAATCCATCTGCAATCCCGACAGCAGGCATGCCACAGTGGCTGTCTCCTTAGAGCAACCAGGCAAACATGTCCCAGCACAACGCCATGTCCCACCAGTGGGGAAATACCCACAAAGAGACAGCAAGTGTCCCATGCGCTGCCACATCCCAGCATCCCCTAACCACGAGCATCCCCATCCAGTGACAACTATCAGCAATGGAAACTACCCACAACCCCGGAAGCAGCTCCCCAGATCCAATGCCTTGTCCCAGCAGCTGGAACCATTTGCAACCCTAACAGCTCTTGTCCACGTCCCGTCTCCCAGCACCTGCCGAGTGTGCTGGCAGAGACAACAAAATTACTCACCAGCCACTGTGCCATTTTTAACGATGGGGCACTCGCTCCAGGGGAGTGGATACTGGAAGGATTTAAAGAAGTAAAAGATGCTCCAGCCGATGATCACGTTATAATAAAGACCGACAAAGAAGCAGACCTAGGGGAGGGAAAATAACACAGTGTTTAGATCCCGCACGGTGCGTCCCTTATACAGACCTGACGCTGACCAGGAAACCCTGGGACAACAAGGCAGCTGGGGTGATGAAACGTGGTAATCTGGGCCTGATCCCAAAGTCTGGTGATGTGAATGGAAAAACTCCCATTGACTGCAATGGGCCAATGGATCAGACCATTAGAATGTTCACTTTCAATGACCATGAGAGACCCAGAGCTTTACTACGATGGACCTTCAGAAAAAGCAAATTTTAAGCTTGAATTCCAATTCTTCAATCTCGTTCTTCAATCCAAGGTCTAACATGGTCCACTGGCTGGGAGCTGAAGCAAGACCAATTCAGACTAGAAACAAGGTGCACGTTTTTAACAGTTAGGGGAATTAATGACTGGAACAACTGGCCAAGAACTGTGGTGAGTTCTCCAGCCCTGGCCATTTTGGAATCGGGATTGGATGTTTTTCTAAAAGAGCTGCTCAAATTCAAACAGGAATGAATTCCGGGAAGTCTGATGGCCTGTATTATGCAGGCGGTCAGACCAGATGATTACAGTGGTCCCTTCTGGCTAGATAATCTATTCATTGCATCTTCCCCGAAGCGTTTGCAGTTTGTGCTGCGCAAGCTTATTAAATACGTGTTGTTGTCTTTTGCTCTTTATGCAACAGAAACAACGTGGAGAAACCACACAGGCACAGCTGGGTCCCAAATAACTGTGTTACTAACTATGCACAGATAGGACGGGCCTAATCACAGACACATTGCTGCTTCTTTCTGGCACGTTCTAAGACACAGAACACAGTGAGTGTCACTAGCCAGTTGGCAAACCGTTTAAAGGGACACTACCTTATTTTCTGTATGCTACAATATGTGATCCAAGCAGGGAACAGGCCCAACACCACCCAACCCATGTAACTAACAGACACACAGCAATCCTTGGTGAAAATTCTTGCTGCATTATCCTCAGTCTGAGCTTTATTCAGAGAAGAAATTAGCAGAGAATTTCATCTAAATCGGTGCGATCACTTTGCTGTCTGCTCGCAAGCTGGAAGCAAAGGTGACATTGGCTGAATGAAAGATTCATCATGAATGAGTCGCTCGGCTGTGATTACATTCCAAACTGAATTCTGAATTGCCTGTGTAACCCACTGATCAGGATGTGTTGTGGGTGTCGTCCTCTGCACCTGATCCGCAGGGGACATGAGTCTGATACAGCCCTAATTTGAGAGGCTGGCTTTTTAGCTCATGATGTAAAGACTCATGTTTTCAGCTCCCGGTTCAATCTCTGGTGTTGACCAAGGTGGCAGCTGTCACACGTGTTTTTCAGTGAAGTTGCTTTTGACACGTAGTAGCCAAAGCTAAGAAATGAAAAGTTAAGGAAGAAACCAACAGCTCTGGGCTGCATGTCTGAGGCTGTGCCTGGATTAACACAGTCTATACTGGTGTAATGGACATCACACTCTGATCTCAAACTCCTGCAAAACCCATGGGGAATTGCTAGTGATGGTAGTGCTGTGTGCTCTGGGAAAACCTGGAGCCAGGAGATAATGAGGCTAGAATGGGAGCCATTTATTACCACTTTACAATTGAACCTGCTGCAATGCACCACAACCAAATGCTCGGAGCTCACCTGCAAGGGACTATCTCTGCTAGGGCAATCCAGGATGAACCCCCTCACCCTCATCATGCCCTGGAACTAAGGTGAGAATCTCTATCCATTCAGAGACTATCCAAGGGACTGATTCTGTGAGGTGCTAAGCATCTCCTAATGTCCATAGGCTCCATTGAGGGCACTCAGTAGCTCTCAGCAGATGTCCAGCCCCCGGCTAGCACATCCTGTTTGTGCTGAACTTTTCCTCTTAGAAGCCCAGGTGAGACTGCCATATTGAGCTCAGGTGAGACTGCCATGTTGAGCCCAGGTGAGACTGCCATGTTGACCTCAGACTGAGGTGGAGCATTGCACCCCATCACTCACTAGACTAATTAGGCAAATGACAATGCACTTGAATTTCTATGTATAGGAATTACCTCCCCTGCTACCAAACTGCAGCCACCTCTGGGGTGGGACATGGCAGCTGTTTAACAGCACTCCTAACTGCCCAACAGAGGTGAAGAATACGATATCCGCTAGCTACGTAGTGGCCCATACTGGCGTCTGACCAGGACATTGGGGATAACACCCTGACTCTTGCAATAAGTGCTATGGGATTTTGATGACCACAAGTGGCTACAACCCTGGTTTTATATCTCAACATCCTCAGACAAGTACCTCTTCCCAGGCTCCATGCTGACTAAGGACGCTGCCGTGGCAGCTGGAAGTCTGTCTTGCTATTGCTCCAGTTACTGCAGCTAGGAACCCAGCCGTTTGTGGCCTGCAATGCCCTCCCTGTACCTGGACAAAGATCAACCCTCCTCCCCTCCCACAACCACACTTGGCACCGGGTGAAACTCATCTGAGCACTCACGAGACAGCTGGCATATCCAATGCCCCCCAGGCGGGGGCAGATGTAATTCCACACGCCGATGCTGCCCCGGCGGATTCTCTGACCCACGGCCAGCTCCAGGAAGAAGAGAGGGAGCCCGATGATGATGAGCAGCACCAGGTACGGGACCAGGTAGGCACCTGGCAGGAGAAAAAAGGGCCATTACAGATCCCACCTGCGACTGTGAGAGCCAGTGTTCTTCTGTGTGGTGGGACAGACGTGGAGGGGGAGAGGAAGGAGGACAAGGGGGGAGGAGAGAGAAAAATCTCAACCGTGATGTCTCACCAGCCGCCTGTTCATTATAACCCAGAACCATCAGAGTCACCCCCCTGCGCCTGTTGTTTTTCTTACACACTGACAAGTGCCTAGGATACTCGTTTGCAGAGGAAACAGACACAGAGCAGCACCGGCTCCAGGAACCAGCTGAGGAAGCAGGTGCTTGGGGCGGCCAAGGGGAAGGGGCAGGACGTCGGGCTCTTCGGCGGCAATTCGGCAGCGGGTCCCTCAGTCCCTCTCGGAGGAAAGGACCTGCCGCCGAAGTGCCGACAAAGAAGAAAGCGGCGCGGTGGAGCTACAGCCGATCACGGCTTTTTATTTTTCCCTGCCACTTGGGGCGGCAAAAACCCTGGAGCCAGCCCTGACACAGAGACTATCAAGGCTGCTTCCCCACTCTGAACTTTAGGGTACAAATGTGGGGGCCTGCATGAAAACATCTAAGCTTAACTACCAGCTTAGATCTGGTCCGCTGCCACCATTCCCAAGTGGATTCCCTTCCCTGGGAAGCCTTGAGAAACCTTTCACCAATTCCCTGGTGAATACAGATCCAACCCCCCTTGGATCTTAAAACAAGGAGAAATTAACCATCCCCCCTTCTTCTTCCCACCAATTCCTGGTGAATACAGATCCAACCCCCTTGGATCTAAAAACAAGGAAAAATCAATCAGGTTCTTAAAAAGAAGGCTTTTAATTAAAGAAAAAAGGTAAAAATCATCTCTGTAAAATCAGTATGGAAAATAACTTTACAGGGTAATCAAACTTAAAGAGCTCAGAGGACTCCCCTCTAGTCTCAGGTTCAAAGTACAGCAAACAGAGATAAACACTCTAGTAAAAGGTACATTTACAAGTTGAGAAAACAAAGGAAAACTAACACGCCTTGCCTGGCTATTTACTTACAAGTTTGAAATAGGAGAGACTTGTTTAGAAAGATGTGGAGAACCTGGATTGATGTCTGGTCCCTCTCAGTCCCAAGAGCAAATAACTTCCCAAAACAAAGAGCACAAACAAAAGCCCTTCCCCCCCCCCCAAGATTTGAAAGTATCTTGTCCCCTTATTGGTCCTTTGCGTCAGGTGTCAGCCAGGTTACCTGAGCTTCTTAACCCTTTACAGGTAAAAGGATTTTGGTCAGGAGGGATTTTAGAATACTGTACACAGGAGAGCTGTTACCCTTCCCTTTATAGTTATGACAGAGGTCTATAGCTCTCTGTGCAGATTCTGTGTGTGTGTGTGTGTGTGTGTGTGTGTGTGTGTGGGACGGGGGGCGGGGGAACAAGGACTTAAAGCTGCTGCTGCTTCTCAGGTGTGCTTCTAGTGCAGTGTGCCTTGATGCAGCAGGGGAATT